TCTGGGAGGTTCTGGACCAAGCTGTCCAATAGAACATTCTGTGATGATGGGAATGTTCTAATTTTCACTGGCCAGCACAGTAGAGCATTTCAAATGCGGGTAGTGTGACCGAAGATTTGAATTTTTAATTTGAGTTCGTTTAAATTCAAATGGCTGCACAGGGCTCCCGTCTGCCTTATTAGACCACAGAAGCTGAGACTACAGCTCCACTATCTTCTGGAACCTTGCACCCAAGTTCCCTCCCACCCTTCCGATGTCTCCCAGATGCCGGCCCACTTCTGCAGGTCCCTCTGGCCCTGCACTCCCAACTCCCATCCCATGTCAACCCCTCTCTCTGGCCCTTTGTCCAGCCACCCTCCCTGCACCCCCACTGCGCACCCCTGCTCCCTGTCCCACCATCCATCCCACTCGGCTCTGTGGGCTTCTTGCTCTTATTTCCTATTGCATCTGGTGAAAACTCCCCAAACCCAGCCCTGAACCCTCAGAATTTTCAACCTTACCCTAATATTCACACTCCCTCAAACCTACCGACACCCCAGGGCCAGATCCAGATGTCTTGGAAGAGAGTGGGGAGAGACAAGAAAGGGGCCGGATGTTCAAAATCGACACAACCAAGAACCCCCAGGATGCCTGGCTGTTACCGTACGAGAAATACAAAGAGAGTACGTTCAGGTGCCTGCTTCAGAGACCTTACACAGAGCGGGGAGACGGGATACCCTGAACATGCAAGAGAGAGAGCAACATCCTTGCAGTGCAACAAAAAGAAGCAGCAGAGCTACTCAAGGCCAAACGTGCTCCTGGGGCTGAGAGGAAAGGCCTCTCTGGACTGGATTCCCAGAAGGCGGAGGGCTGCCCTGGGATCAGCCTCCAGCCTCCACCCTGCTCTGGCCTCTGAGGGCTGTGTGAGGTGCCCCTTCTCTCCACCTGTGAGTTGGGCTCAGCCAAAGTCAAGCAGCAGCAGAGGACAGCCAGCCAGAGGTAAGGGCAGGGCTCTGTGTTCCTCCGACTCCCTCTCTGCCAGGTGGAGGGTTAGCGGGGACCAACTTCCTCTCGTGAAGGCTGGGACCCCTTCTCGGCAGCCCACACTTGTGGCTGTGAGTCTCTCCTGGCTCCTGCAGACCCCCGCAGCTCCCCGCTGTCAGCATACCCAGGGGGCTGCAGCATCTGTTGTTGCCGCCCCTGCACCCAAGCCATTCCCTCAAATAGTCCTTTCCTTTCCGCTCTCCCATCTCCCTTGCTGGTGCACCATCACCTGTTCCATGGCAGGACCCCAGCTGATACAGGGTCTATGCTGGGTCTTAAAGGGTGAATAGGATGGATGCAGGCAGAAAAGAAAAGAAACTCGGCAGAGCAGAACAGCAGAGCAGAGGAGCAGGGACAGAAGGGCTAAAGTCCTGCTCAGCTGGGCAAGGCTGCGTGCGGAAGACGGGGCTCCGGGTGAGGGAAGCTGGAGCTGAAGCTGGGGCCAGGCTGTGGAGGCCTTGTCACCAGGAGTTGGGATGGTGAGAGTGGGAAACCAGGGCTCCCATGTCAAACTAGGATGATGCACTGTTTCAGGGGCCCCTATGCGTTAAAAGTTCCATTGAAACCAGCTAAGGCTATCACATAGGCAACTGGCTTTTAAGAGTCATGAGCTGGCTAGGCGACCACACAGCTGGCTCTTAAATACACATGACACGCTTGGTAAATAAACAAAGCTGGACATCAACAGACTTTCACTCTAGCTTCCATGACAATCAAGCGAGTAAAATCCCATCACTATTCAAGTAGATCTACCCCGTAGCCAATGACCAGTAAAATCATAAATACATACGTCTGCCTGTTAGACAGAAGCACTTAAATCCTGACTCTTCACATCTTATTGGCTAAGCAAATGCAAGGTCATAGTACATAGTACATAAGTGTAGTTGTGTCGGTCACTGTGCTGGTCAATTTTCCCCTGAATAATTCAAATTTATTCTAGTTTGGAAAAAATGTTTCTAATACATATTTTATGCCAGATGCCATTTGAACATAGCATATTACTCTTTGGCAATATCTGCCAACTCCTGGGAAAGTGTATGAACCCTCTGCTGCCTTTATAGCCACAAGAATGCGGGCACCTAGGCTGGCATTTGCAAAGATGGAGCTGTCAGAGCAGCTGTTCCTCCCTTAGCTGAAGCGATACAGAATTTTTTACTGGTTCATGCATTCAAAGGTACGTGAAAGAGAGAGGAAGGAAAAAAAGAAGGAAGGAAAGAGGAAGGAAGGAACAAATGAATGAAAATGAAGAAACAAACGAAGAAAGAAGAAGGAAGGAAGGAAGACTACTTTGGCTGAACTTTTGCCAAGATGCCACAATAACAAAAAGGTATTTGCATCATTTGCTCTACCTGTTTCTTTGTTGAGTGTCAGTCTGACAGACTGTACTTTGATCTTCAGCAGAATTTTTCAGAAGAAATATTTTGTCATCTTTATCCTTTTTTCACAGGTAATAGATAACATTAATGACCCACACAGACCTGAAATTTCAGGGCTAAGTGCAATTGCTGTCTTGTTTGCATTTTTTCCCATTATCCTCATTAATTCATGTGGAGGAAAAGTCCACTGTGAAGAGCAGAAGATGAAATATGTCCCAGTGCCCCATTAGAGGCATTACCAATTATACTACTGTTTTGTGAAAGTCATTAACAAGTGAAACTGCCAAAATCCAAAGGAGTCATGCATTGCATGGAACGGCACAGCGTATCTACATGCTTTTCTGTAGAATGTTATCTGTTAATTTTTTTATTTTTGACAAGTTGAGCCCCTGTATCTTAAGCAGAACATTCTTTCTCCAAATTAAAACCAATTAAAAACTATTTAAGGAACGCTCCCTGACAACAACGTTTACCAGAATTAACACCACTCGCTGAAGAAACAAGGCGGCAGAAGTTGCAAAACTTAGCGACGGTTTCACTATTCACTGATGCCAACTCACAATGGGAAGCTCCAAAGTTTGCTTGAATTTTCAGATTTCTCTATGTTGACTGACTATCTCTTGATGCTGCCATGTTTTACTTTAGAATATAAGTTTTGAGGTTTGTTTAAATATTTTTTGTCATGTCAGGGAAGAAAGATGGTTAATTTATACCATTTCCTTATCTTATTGTATGTGGGGAAGGCACCACATTAAACTTCTGCTTTGAGACCATTTTAAACAGATTATTCCATTGCATTAAAGGAGACTCTAAAATGGTTATATTTGTGTGGTGAATAGAAAAACGAAGCCAATAAGGTCGTTTCAAGGGCAAAAGGAAGAAATTGAGTGCCCATCTGTGCCATGCATCATACCATGCATCTTATGCCATTATTAGTTTTTATCTTCCCAACAAATTTGAAAGGCAAGAATGTTTATCATCCTCTTTTTACAAGTGAGGGGACCTTAACTTAAGGAGGTTAAGTAACTTGCTCAAGGTCACTTAATGTGGCTAGATTCTAAGCTGGGTCTGTCTGGCTCCAAAACCCTCATAAGGTCAAAAAGGGCTCCTTCCCACAAACCCGGGATCACGGGATGTTTCCTGCCTGCCTTAATGACCATCTGAGGTGGTAGAGCCAGGGTTCACCAAGGCAAAACTTGGCCTTCTGACATGATCTGAGGGCTCATTTGGCATCAGTCCATTCTCTTGGCACAGCTCCAAGAGCTGCCCCATTTAAGCTGAGGGCACTGGTAATAGTAGCTCTACAATTAGATTTACGAATTAGGTGCTCCCAGGGACAATGCGGTACAGGGGAAGACTTGAGTGTGAGTCCCAGCTCTGCCATGTATAGACCTTCACACAGCCACTGAAACCCACTGCACCTGCATAAAACTTTTTAAAAGAGGTGTGGGAAATAACCTACCCAACCTCAAAGGCAGTCTGGGGGAATAAATTAAATGATCCATGACAAGTGCTTGGAAAGGAGCATATACACAGAAGGTACTTAATGAATGTCTGTTGCATGTGGAAGCTATTAAGCTGCTAATGAGGGGGCACTGCCCCAGGTTCAGAGGGCGGCCTTAGATGCTTGCTGTTCAAAGTGCAGCCCATAGACCAACAGCATCAGCGTCACCTGGGAGAGTGTTAGAAATGTGGAACATTGGGCTCTTCCCTAGATCTACTGATTCAGAGACTGCATTTATAACAAGATACAAGTATGCACATTCATGTTTGAGAAACTGCCTTAGGCCTCCTGGTCTCGCTTTTTAAAGTCTTTACCTCCAGAGAGGGAAGTTGGCCTGTTTCACTTTTCAGCTATTCCTTATCACAAAAAGAGAGTCAAAAGGGCCTTTGAAGAGCATCCCATCCAGGAACAGCCATTTCCTTCCCAGCAGCCAGGGCAGACATCGCTAATCAATGAAGGAACTCTCTCCCTGAGCTCAGAAGCAGCTGCATTGCCCTCCTCAATGCACTCTTTCTTTCAGAGTTGACATGGGTATGAAACCAACATGCCACCCCCATCCTCTGCCATGTGGTCTAATGCCTATTTCATTCACAGGTGGGCCTTGTCTCCAGTTTAAGCCTATTTCCCAACGTTCCATCCAATTTAATATTTATCCCCTACAAAAATGTTTAAATAAATTATATGGTTATACTGATTAAGCAGAAATTTCACACCATCGAATTAAATGACATTTTTCAAAGCAGAAAACCCAATTCCTCTGGTTCACACTCCTCTTTCGGTCACAATCCCGCTCTTTTCCGCCATCAATGTTTTAAACCAATGGGGTGTGTCCCGTCCCGCGGGACGAACGTGGAGTGTGTCGGAGACGCCTGCAGAAATGAAACAAGCAAGGGACACAAAGAATGACCAGCAAGACAGGATGTCTGATCAAGCTGGCGAAGTTTATTGTTTACAGGCTCAATTTATACAAGTAGCAAGTAAGGGGTGGGTCAGGAGATAATTGGACCTTAGGTGGCGCTGGCGGGGAGGTGTTTTCACACATCCTCAAGGTCTCCCTATTTTCAGAGTGAGGAGTCTTGGCTCATCTTCAAGGACAAGATATGTTTTTGTGAGCAGATAACTTCCAAGGACTGCACCGGTTGCTCTCAAGCTTGTGCTTTCCCATGCTGCGTTCAGACGTGGGGGAAGGGACATAGCCCCGGCTCCCAACAGGGGTGAAGACTTGAAGCCTCACAAAGAACTTAGAATAGACCCCACTGCTTGCAAAAGCCAAAGGAGAAAGACACCAGAAAGTGTTTTCAGTGCTAGAAGACTTTGAACCACACTCGTGTGCGCCCTGGCAACCCAGGCCTGCCTCCTGCCGGAAGCTGGAGCCGGCAGCTACGGATGGGCTGGTGTGCAGAGCCAGCCTCACTCCTGTGGCCTTCGCCCAGAGTTCCAAAGTAGGAGTGATATTCTGAACTTAATTTTTGTTCCCATATAATAGGAGAGTGATGCCCCCACGAAGCTGTTGTGCCAATCAGCCAGTGGGAAGCAGCCCATGTTTTTGGAAGCCAAATCATTAAGAACTGGAGTGCAGTGTAGGCATATACACCGGTTGGAGCCAATTTTAAGTGAAAATTAATGGCAAATTCTTGTAACCACATTAAGGACCATTGTCATTCATTTGAAATCAGTTAAACATGAAAACGGTATGAAAACCATCTTGAGTTCATGAAATATAAATATTTGTCTATGTTTTTTGCCAGGGTCCCAGAGAGACGAGGCAATGTTGGCAGATTAGGGTTCTACAAACATGCTCACAAAGGGGGGAAGACAAGGAACCTGACTCTTCGTTGGGTTAAACTATTCGTCAACTTTTCCATTTCCTCAGTCAGAAGATAATTAAACAGTAAGCAGATGTCAGAATCTGATCGGTTCAAGGGAAGATTTCTCAGTGGCTTATGGTGTTGTAATTTTCATGTATTGTCTGCAAATAACCCCTAGGTTGGTACAAGATGGGGAAAGTCACCCAGTTTGTTTCTCTCCCCGTGGAGACAGAGGCTCTGCCAACAGGCACATCTCTGCGTACTCACTCTTGATACCAAGGAGCACGCCAGAAAGTTCCTGAAGGAGTGCTTCGAGCCTATCAGACCAGAGGGATGAGCTGAAAGGGGAGAGAAACAGTAGGAGAAGGTCCAGGGCACCGAATGCAGCGCCACTGGAAGGGTGTGGTCCTCGGGGTCCCGCCCACCGTCCGGTTCCGCCCCTTTCTGCCCGCGTGCCCTTGGCCCATTCTTCAGCCTTCCCGAATTCACCCCCTCTTCTGACAGTTGGATATAATAAGCCCTGCCCTTGCTCAGTCACAGGCTTGTTGTGGGGTAATAGAGGGAGTAAGAAAAGAATGTCTCAAAATTGTAAAGCACCGTACATTTGCTTTAATTTTCCGTAAAGGAGCGGAGGGAAACTGACGGAAAGAGAACTGAAACGAAGTGAGGTCTGCGGTGAGGAGAGCATGGGTTTTCCTCTCTGTGTCATGGGCTGCTTTTGGGGCCCCAAAGCAGCACAGCTTGGAAGAGGGTCTTACAGCGGTTCTTTCAGGTTCTACTTCAGAGCCTTGCACCCATAAAACAGACACACACACACAGCTTTCTGGGGGATTCAAATATATGCCCAGGAAGCCAGGTGAGGAACGGCCTTGAAAAATAATCACCATGCCGCGTTTCTGATCTCAGGTCACTCACAGCTGCGTGAACATTATTAGTGGCATTGTTAGTGGCCTCTGCCTTCTGGAGGACTCTGTTCCCTGGAGGACTGTCAACCACCCCTTGCAAATCGACCCCCATTGGGGCATCTCACCAGTTATCAAGCATGCCAGCGTAGCCAGTAAGATTTAAACCCGCATTCCTCTTGTGTAATTTATTAGGTAGTCTGTCCCAAAGAACCAGTTTACTAATCAACTGTGGAGTTCGCACTTACTCCGGCCTCATCTCTGACTCCACCTGACTGTGTGGTCTCGGACCAGCACGAACCCACTCTGCACTTCTGTTTTCTCATCTGTGAAATTAAGGTGAACAGCTTGACCCTGAGAACCTTTCTACTTGTGACATTCAAAGTTTTCTCAACTTACCCATCAGAAATCTCAGTTCTGACATATAATCTCCCTTCCCCCTCATCTGTGCTCTGGATTGTTCTCTGCCCTCCTGCCCTCCTGCCCTCTGTTGCCTGCCCTGGAAGGACCTGTGGGGGCTGGTGTAATGGCTCTCTTACCCTCTGGCTTCCGCATGGCCTCAGCCAAGGACAGCAGGCCCCAGCAAGAGAATGGAAAGAACCGAAATTCAGAAAGATCAGAAAAATCTGGGGGTTCCTTTCCTGCCCCCTCCCTGGGAACTCTCCCCAGACTGACTGCGCCTCTCCTGGAAGGTCACTGCCCCTGGGACTTCTCTACCAGATTCTCTCCTTGCAGTTTTATTGTTTCGTCCCCTCTTCAGGTGGTAAGAGCTCTACAGGGACTAGCCAGGGGCGACTGTATTATGGCCTATGGTTCTCCACTCCCAGACAACACCTTAGCAAGTAGTCCTCTAGAAATAAGCTCTTCTCAGCAGGGGAAGTCGTGGTGGTGAGTCACAGGAGAATCAACAGGTGGTCCTATGGGTCTGGGAATGAATGAGAAACCCAGGAAGACTGCCAGGTGAGGAGGCAGTGCTTTACAAGGCTGGACTTAGGCCTGTCTGGAAGAAAAAGAAGTTTAGATAGGCAGCAAGGGGGTGGAGAGGGCTTTTTAATCCAGAGAGTGGTGTGGAGGCAGCCGTGATGCCTGTCGGTCTGGAGGCAAGAACTTGGTAGAGGAGGAATGAAGGTCACAGTTGAAGAAGCCAACACAGGCCAGACTGCAGGGACCTTGAAGGCGGGACTGAAGCCTGGGGCTTTATTCCAGGGGAAATGGGAAACGTTGGATGGCTCTTGAGCATGGAACTGCCTCATGGCACTGAGCTATTTTAGGATCGTTAATCTAGCAGCGGGGGAGCCGACTGTGGAGTGGGGTGGCCCTGTGCAAAGAACACAGAGCATGGTGCCAGAAGTGACTTGCCCGCCCCATTTCTCCTAGCAGGGGTGGCCGAGGCTGTGCAGGTGTCTCCCCTGCAAAGCTCACGTTTATGCTGGACTCAAAAGAGCAGAGAGTGAAGTGCATCACATCCTGAGGACGTGAGAGAAAACACATTCTTGGACGAGATTTCTCAAAGCCATCCACCCACAGCCCCCAAAATAAGGGAGAGGCAATCTGTTTCTCCTGGCATCTGATTCAAATGCTCCTGAGGCCAAGAGGACCTAAAAGAATCCCTCTGCTCATGTGTGTGAGAACAGCCCAAAGGGGGACCATCTGTTTCAGGATGGGCCCGATGTGGGGGCAGAAACAGTAGCCCCCAAAGAGTGCTATTTCAGAGTTTCCAGGAAAGAATCCTGTGACTATCCCCAGCCTGATTGGAGATCTTTCTTTATCTCTCCGTTTAGTGCTTTTCTAAATGGAAGCCCCCAGGTGACGGGAGCACCTCTCTCAGAAGTTCTCTGTCACTGACAACACAGTGTTTGCGGTGGAAGGAGTCCCAGAGTTCTGATCACCTGAGACAATGCAGACCCAGTAAGCCACAGGAAGATTAAATGGATGTAGATTCAAGGGACAGAGACCCCTCAAACTACCTAAAAAAATTCCTGCTCAGGTTTGGCCCTGTATCCCCATTTAGTCCCAGGTGGGCCTGGGAAGGGGTCCTCCTCCCTCCTGAGGGCGCAGCAGCCTACTCTGAGGTCCACTTCCCTGCCCATGCCCTGGTGATGGCAGGGTTGCTGCAGTCCAAGGGGGAGGCACAATGGTCACAGGGACTAGGGAGGAAGCAGTTAATGAGCCTGGATGAGGAAAGGGGGGAGCTCCATGCAAGCTCTGGAACATTCAAATACTTAGAGGGTCAGTAAAAAAGATAGTCAGCAGAGGAGGGGGCCTCAGTGAGTTAGAAGGAAAACATTATAAAGCCAGGCGGAGCAAAGGCGGAAGTGGTCAGACGCCTCAAGGGCTCCTGGGGGGCCAGTAGTGTGAGGACAGCTACAGAGATTACTGATGATCTTGACAAGAGCAGCCTCAGAGGAAACCCAAGACTGATTTCGGTATCTCACTCCCCTCTGAGGCAGACATGCTTTTCCCCACTGTATGGATAAGGAGGCTGCAGCTGAGAGAGATGATCTGACTTAACACGAAGCCTAGTTACCACTTACCTAGTTACCGGTTAGACTGTCGCGCTGCTGCTGTGATCCTGGGGCCGCCAACAGGATGCCGCAGATGAGGCGGATGCTGACAGTGATGTCAGCGCTCATGTCTCCGTTGATGACGTTGGTAAAGCTGATGACCACGCTGGCGGTGACAGTGATGTGGGTGGTCGCTCAGTGAGGAACTTGATAATGACCGTGTTGAAAAAGTTAACTGGTCTGTGGAGTCAGGCAGATTCAGATCTATATCCCAGCCAGCCAGCCACACAAGCCTTTCAACCTCGGAGCCTCAGCGTCCCCACCTGTAAAATGGAGATCATACTGCACCTCAGAGGACTATTGTGAGAATGACATGGAAGGAAAGCCCTTTGAAGCACCTTGAAGTACCTTAAAGCACCTGGCTCCTAGTAGGCCCTCAATAAATGTTAAGTCCTTTTGTCTCTAGAGCAAATATAGGGAGTACAGTGGTCCATGCATGAGCCTTCGCTTCCCTGGATAGACTCATGCCTCCCGGTTCAACTCCACCCCCAACCCAGGGTGAATTCCACCCTAAAGACCAACCATGGCCATCTTGGTGACCACCTGCTCCCCGGGTTCACCGCCTTATGCCCACCCTTGCTCTGGCAGTGCTACCCTGCCAGAAGCCCCACCCCACCTCTCCCCCTGGTGGAGGGATGCCCGAGAGACCCTCGAAGGAAGAGGGCCGAGAGAGGAATGAACACTTGGAGAGCATTGACTACTCTATGACCAGCAGCCTGGTCTCAGTCGCTGGGAAAGAGAAGGTGTAGCTTATGACTTTGGTCTTTGGAATCAGATGTGCCTGCAATTAAGTATCTTCCCTCCTTCAAATCTTTACTCAAATAGCAGCTTCTTCGTGAAGCCTACACTGACCACCCTATTTACACTGTACCCCCTCCATAAGGCTTTCTCTATCACCCTATCCTGCTTTGTTTTTTTCATTCCCTTTCTAACCAGCTACATATTTTTTCTTATGCATTATGTTTATCTACCCTCTTCTACAGGAATGTAAGTTCCAAAGGGCAGGGACTAGAACCTGCTTTGTTCACTGATGCATACCTAACACCTAAAAAAGTGCTGGAACCTAGGAGGTGCTCACAGAACATTTGTTGAATGACTGAAGTATCAGCTCAACCCTCGGCAACACAGACACATTACAAGGAGGCTACCAGTAACTAACGCTGGACCAGACCTCTCTGACTCCAAGTCCAGGATCCATTGCATACCAATAAATTCAAAGGTCTTCCTGGTCACAGCCCCCACCTAATCCCACCCATCATCTCTAGAACAATTTCACTTTGAAGTCTCCCTCTTAGATCAATTCATTTAAGAATTAGAGGGCTGGGCTGCAATTTGAAGTAGACAGAATGTTTCCTGGACTCAGCAGAAGCTCAGGCCCAACTCAGGCACCTCGTTTGATGAAAGGGCCGCCTGTTTAAAGGTAAGCCAGAGCGAACAGCCTGGCCCACTGGGCCCTGCTTAACGGAAGACCTTCCTGTTTAAATGCTCCACAGTCAACATCAGGTCCAAGGGGCAGGAGGCAGGCCTACTCCGTGTTTGCTCTGAGGGGTCCACCTACTGGGAAAACTCAGGTAAGTCAACAAACCTGTTTGTTCTCCCAGTACAGCAAACAAAACACAGGACTACTTCTCCAAGGCTCCCCACTGGACCCAGGAGGCATGATTAAAGTAATGGGAAGACAAATATTTTCCTGGGGAAAATGATAAAACTTGAGACAGGAAAAGCAAACAGCGTCTTCAAAAGGGCAGCTGTGTAGTTGGCGTGGAGCTGCCCCAGGAACAGTTAGGGAAGATTCCAGAAGGGAGAAAGCATGTGGCCTGTGAGCTCCTGGTTTGGAGGGATGGCTGAGGGAAGTGGGGGCTTTGCTCAAAGCAATCAGCACATCAAGCTCAAGGGAATACCATGCTGTTGATCTTCCCCAGTACCCAAATTATCATTATTGCCAGTGAGATGGAGAGAATTCGGGAAATAAGATCCAAGACAGTCTAGATCACGAGCTAAGAGCCAGACATGTTTGGGCTTGAATTCTATTATTCATTCATTCATGCCTCCAGTCCATCCACCATTCACACATATATGCTGCGTACCTGCTGTGCACAGGCCCCAGCCGGAGCTGTATGGTCTTGAGCAAGTCCTTTATCCCCTGGGAGCCTCCATGTTACCATCTGTGAGACAGGCTGGTGCAGCATTGTTGGGAAGATAAGAAGTGATATTTAAAAAGCATTTAGTACAGTATCTGGCTCTCAGTTCTCTGGTACAGTCGCCCCAGGCACATCCTCTAGCTGACCATCCGCCTTTATCACTAGCCCCTCCCTCCTCTTTCCCCAGGCCCCAGCCAGCTGTTCTCAATGTCTCACCTGCCCAGGTCCCTCTGGTCTCTTGGCCTTTATCTGTGCTGCCTCCCCACCTCCAGTGCCCTTTCCACCAAGCAATTTCCCGCATGGTGGTCCTATGGGGACTCCAAATCAAACAGGCTCCTAACCCCTTCATCCCGTTGTCCCCCAGAACCTAGTCCCCCTGTATACTTCCAAAAGGCACCTCCAACCCCTAGTGCCCTTCTAGAAGTCTGGGGGCCTCCACGAATCCTTTCCTGCTCACCCAGCAAGTCGGCTGTCTGCGCGATCACACCAGTCTTAGCTCAGACCTCCTGCAATTCCCAGTTTGCCTTGCTCACTTGGGATTCTAGCTGGGCATCCACTTCCCTCCTTCCCTTTAAGGTCTCATAAATCCTACTGAGACCTTAAAAGCTTGCTTCAGCACTTCTTCCTCCAGGAAGCCCTCCCAGACCCTCTCAGGCTGGGTGGTCTGTCTTCCCTGTGCTCCTTCCCAGAATACCTTGGCTCAACTTGGCCAACACATTATCCCATCTGGCCTAGACCCACCTCACTATCTCATGGTAAGCCCCTCTAAGCCCTGGAACACGGCACATTTATCCTTCCATCCTCAGGGTCTAGCCAGGGGCTTGGTGCTTGGAGGACTCAAGAAAAGCTGTGGTATGTGACACAGGTTAGGCCCCAGAGCTGAAATAAGAGGTGGGGGCTCTGACAACATGGGAAAGGTGGACTCACCCCACCAACTGGAGTAAGGAGGGAGGAACAGGGTGTCAAGAACAACTGCCAAGAGGAAGAAATGTACAAGCTGAGATTGGAAAGAGGAGAAAAAGTTAGCCAGAGAGAGAGGGTGGGTGAAGGGTCCCAAGCAAAGAAAACAGCATATGCAAAGGCCCGGGGGAAGCCTTTGATGGCCCCAAGAGGTTGTGGATGACTAGTAAAATCACCCCTGTAGGTCTCATCAGACCTTTTCTACAGGCATGGAAAGGCCCTGAAAGTCCCGAGCTGAGGTGGGAAATAATCACAATGTTTTAGAAAGGCCCTATAGAGGGCTCTATGGATGGACAAGGGGGACAAGGGAAGGTCAGAAACATCACACTCTCCTTTAGGTGGCCAATCTCAAGGTCCAAGGGAGAGATGCCGGAGCAGGTAGTAGCTATAAAGATGAAGAGAGGCTGAGGAATGATGGAGTATTTGGGGATAGAGTCAACACAACTGGTGATGAATTGTATGGGAGGGACAAGGGAGAGAGAAGGATCAAGAATGACTCTGTGAATGAGTGAATTCTTTGCTCAAAGGTCTAAGAGCTCCCAGCGAACCCTCCCATGGCGATCTCTCACTTCTCCGAACTGAGGAAAGAGTCCAGCCACCAGTGGCTATCAGCTGGGCTCTTGTCTTCCCCTCCCAAAAGCAGAGGTCTCTGCCAGAGGACTCCATCATCAGAAAGTTCTTCCTTTCACTGGATTGAAAGTAACTCTGCGACTTCCACCCACTTGTCGCAGCTTGGCCCTAAGGCAGGAGACAAGGAAGTGGGCAAGGAAGCAGGGGAGAGAACTAGCATTCATTGAGCACTTACTAGTAAATGCATGTGCCAGTCACATGGGAAGAGGTGCTTTACCCAAGTATTCATTAACTCTTGCAATAATCTTTGAGGCAATACATATATTATGTCTAATGGTTAAGAGTGCAGCAGACCTTGTGGGATACAATGCGAGTTCTGCCCCTCTCTGCCTTTGTGATCCTGAGCAAATTATTCAATGACTCTGTGTCTCCGGGTTTTTTTTTCACCTAAAAAATGGTGATTTTAATTATTCCCAATGCAGTGGGTTGAGATTATGGGCATAAAATACTGATCAATTTATAGTCAGTTCAATACGTATTACCTGTTTTTTTTTTTTCAGGTTATCATGTTAATCAAGTATTATTTATTGTGTTACATAAATTGTGAAACCAAAAATTTTATTTTTTCTGTAATTTGTAAGTTTGTTGTTATCCGTGTGTCAGAATTATCACAGTAGTTGACCCTTGAACAACACAGGGATTAGGGGCACCAACCCCTATGCAGATGAAAATCTGCTTATACTTTTGACTCACCAAACACTTAATTACTAATAGCTAGAGAAAAGACCATGTTTTTCAAATTGTTGCAAATCTTCTAAATATTTTCCGATATGTTTATTTTTCAAAACTGCATATAAATGGATCCACACGGTTCAAATCCGTGTTGTTCAAGGGCAAATGAATTATGTTTCATAAGCAATAAAATATTTTTAGAAGAAGATTTTATATTTTAGTGCCTTTTTTTTTTTTTTAGAGGGCATCTCTCATATTTATTGATCAAATGGTTGTTAACAACAATAAAATTCAGTATAGGGGGGTCAATGCTCAATGTACAATCATTAATCCATCTCAAGCCTAATTCTCGTCAGTCTCCAATCTTCTGAAGCATAACGAACAAGTTCTTACATGGTGAACGAATTCTTACATAGTGAATAAATTCTTACATGGTGAACAGTACAAGGGCATTCATCACAGAAACTTTCGGTTTTGATCATGCATTATGACCTATAAACAATCAGGTCAAATATGAATATTCGTTTGATTTTTGTACTTGATTTATATGTTGATCCCACATTTCTCCTATTATTATTATTATTTTTATTTTTAATAAAATGCTGAAGTGGTAGGTAGATGCAAGATAAAGGTAGAAAACATAGTTTAGTGCTGTAAGAGGGCAAATGTAGATGATCAGATGATCAGGTGTGTGCCTATGGACTAAGTATTAATCCAGGCTAGACAAGGGCAGCAAGACATCCACGGATGCAGAAGATTTCTCTCAAAGCAGGGGGGGTGAGGTTCTGAGCCTCACCTCTGTTGATCCCCAAATTCTCAGCTGATGGCCCCCCTGCGACTGTGCCTGTCTTAGGTTGTTCCTCCCTTGAGGAATTTTACCCGTCTCTGGCTAACCAGCCATCTTCCAGGGCCATACAGGGAAATGCGTATTACCTGTTTTTATTGTCCCTTTCTACCTGGGAGGAAACAGCACATAATTACATACTGTTGTTGGGATTCAGACCCAGACAGATCTCTCAGCTCCAGGGCCACCGCTCTTTCCTTTATCCCTCCTTACTGCCTGCAACTCTATTCAGAAGCCAGTCTACCCGGGTGGTTCACATGGGAGCATTTTGTGTACAGAAGTCAGCTGTTAGTAGCACCCTGAAGGGATGGTACTGGCTATGGGAAGCAGAATTAATGCCTGAGAGTGGAATTGCCGACCCTCAGACCAGAGGAATACTTCCAGAGTACCTACTGTCTGAAAACCTTTGTTCCAAGTCTTGGGGGAGATAAAGCATGTCTTCTGACCTCAAGGAACCCGAAATCCACTAGGGAATATGAGACACAAATATGAATCTGTTAATTGCCAGTCGATGACAATACAGAGAAATCAACACCTATTGCATTTCTTCTTCTTGTAATATTAGCCCAAACCATGAAAACCTCCATCCTAACAAATGACAATGCCTGCATTTGGATTCAAAATGAGTAACTTTCCCAGGAGTATCCTGACTTGGTAGCAGTCCACGTGAAAAGACCCAGGGGCTTTGGGTGGCCCGAAAGCTTCATGCGAGCCCACATAGGGCTGCGGCTGCTTCAGCAGTGAATGTGATCCTGGGATCTGAGACGGAAGTGTAAAGTTCAGGCCAATGGAGGTAACAGGCACAGAGCTCAGACTTCATTTGGAAAGGTACCAGCCCTGGGTGCCACATGTCACTAGAGACGCAGACCAAGAATGGCACCCGAGAGGTGAGAAGTCAGACGGCTGTGCCCCTTGGAGAACTGTCTAAAGGAAACTTGATCTTGGGTCTGTGACAGGAAAGGAAAGGCGTGGCTGAGTGTAGGTACCATCTTCAAATACCTGTCACGTGGCTGAGTCAGCCTAGAGAGGAGATGCATGTCCAAGCACAGCTCTGCCACTCACTGGTCTGGGGAGACCTGAGCATGTTACTTAATTCCCCTGAGCCTCAGTTTCCCCACCTAAAAGATGGGAATATGGGGTGGTTCTGAAAATTAAGTGAGATAGCAGCGCTGGACACATACCAGTGCTCCATGAAGCATAATCTCCTTCCTTCTCTAAGACATTGGAGGCCTGTGTTGAAATACGAGAGCATTACCATCGGGGAGGGGAAGCGGGTAGCCGCAGGCACTCAGTACTTTTGGGCAGGCAGATTCCCAGTGACATGGCCTACGGGTGTTCAAGGGCCCCGGAAGGAGTTTCTGCAGAGCGGACTCGGGGAACCCAGGTCATGGTGGAATCACCAAGGACTGCATGCTGCAGATGAGGAGGGGGGCCCCAGGACCACTCTAGGGCTCATGGGGACAGCCTTTCCCCTTCGGTGCTCCTTCACAGGCCTAGGGGTGCTCCCCGCATTGTCCCCAGCTCATCCATGGCCCCATGGGAACAGCCATTGCCAAGGTCATGCTCTGGATCCCCCTAGAAGCAGATCCTGAACAAGGGCATGGGTACTTACTCTATGACTGTTAGGTGATTCCCAGGAAGTGAGGATGGGCGGGGGCAGGGGAGGGAGGCATGGGACATCTCCCAAAGTCCCTTGCACCCATGCGGTGGGCTGAACAATGGCCTTCCAAATATATCCATATCCTATCCCTGGAGCCTGTGAATTTTACTTTACTTGGTAAAAGGAAATTTGCAAATGTGATTAAGGACCTTGAGATGGGAGATTACCCTGGATTATCCAAGTGGGCCCTGGATACCCACAACTACCTGTGTAAGAGATGCAGGAGACTCAGAGGCAGACAGAAGGAGAAGTGGTGAAGGAAGCAGAGGCTGGAGTGACGTGTGTTAAAGATAAAGATGGCCGAGAGTCAGGAATGGAGGAAGCCTCTCAGCTGGGCAGGCGACCCAGGAACACATTCTCCCCTAGAGTTTTCAGAAAAAGTCAGCCCTCCTGACACATGATTTTAGCCCTGGGAAGCTGGTTTTGGACTTCCAGCCTCCAAAACGGTAAGAAAATCAACGCGTGCTGTGTTAAATCATGAGATTTGTGGTAATTTGTTACAGCAGCAAAAAGAAACTAATACAGTCCATCAACTTGTCTGCTTTCGTGTCACCTCTGCCTGGCTTCTAGGCCCCATGCACTGCAGTCTCTTCATGAGGCTCCCTTGCTCCCAGCCTTGTATCCTCCATAACACACCAAGGTGGTCTCTCCACTACTTCACACTCTTGAATGCCTAGCCTCCCCACCACCCATCACTGAGAAGATATCCAGACCCATTATCAGCTCAGTTTTCAGGCTTGGTCCCCTCCCACCTCTCTCTTCATCTCCCTCCACTCTCTGTACCTTCAAACTATTGGTTTCTGGACTCACCTCCTGGGTTAATAAGCCCTTGTTCTCCTTTCTAACAAGAATGTTCCCCCCAAATTTTTTCTTGCCAAACTCCTATTCATATAACAAAACCCAACTCAGATATAACTTCCTCCAGGAAGTCTTCCATGGCTCTCTCCCTGACCCCAAACGAGTTCATGAGAGCCCACCCTAACCTTGTACAAACTTTATCATTGGCCAAATTTCCACTGTTGCAGTTTCCCCACTAGTCATTGCCTCTACTAGACTCTGAGCTTCTTGAGGATTTGGAACAGTTTTCTTTTGTTGGCTTTTGAATCCCCAGGACTAGGAGGTCCTCCATACATGTTTGTTGAGTTAGGTGGATAAAGGTTTCTCTCAGTTCCAGCATTGTATGATTTTATGCTCCTGTTCTCAGGGCTTTCTCCACATCAGCTGTTCCCTACAAAGAAGCAGAAAGACAATTATTTTTCTTTCTATTTCTTTCTAGTTCCTGCTAATTCACTCAAGGTAAATAAGATTAATAGGCACTCATTTGTCATGTAGACTTAATAATCCAAAATCACATTTGTCTTGGCCCAGGATACACATATATCTCATAAGCTTTGCAATTTATCAAGAAAATTTAGGATCCAGTGTTTCTCTCACCTAAATGAACACACACACACACACACACACACACAAGCACTGGCCTGAGGTTCTGCAGGAACTAGGGAAGGAAGACAGAACAAAACTATGGGCTCTGAAATTCTGTAAGGAAGGCCCCACCCATTCCAGGACACTGCGTTTTGTCAATGAAGTGTCCCCAGTCCTCCCAGCCAAAGCTACTTGGGGAAAAGATGGTGAGGCCCATGGCAAATTTTAGTTGAAGGGACACAACTTTCTTTTTAGCTCCATTCCTAGATATTAAACCTTGAAGCCCCACCCCTTTCCAAAGATATCTGGTCCTTGACCTATAATAGCCCCCTGCAAGAGTAGGAGCAAAGAGAACAATATTTGTGTCAGCACTTCACTCCCACAACCCTGTGCTACTTGCCAAGATTGTCTGGGCTGCTAGGAAGCTCCTTTCCCTTCTTCTGCTCAAGGTTCTCCAAAGCCAGGTTGTCACCCAGCCTGGCCCAGGGAAGATGAAAGAGGTATAGTCAGCATGGCACCCAGAAGTGCCACAGCACCCACCATGGAGAGTGGAATTCTATGTAATATTTGTACGAAACATTCTTCTTCTAAAGGCACTTCAAAATCAGTTTGGAAACTGATCCCTCAAGGATTTGAGTTTGATTCTACAGCAAGTATTGTTTTAGAAGAAGGAAAGTGCCTAAGGGTTTAGACCATGGTCAGTAGACCACAGCCTTCCATGCCCACTGATGGTATTTCAGGCAGTTCTAGAGTGGCAGAGGCAAGAAGCTCTTTACAAAGAAATTTGGCAGGGCTTGGTGGGGTCTGAGAAATGGAGACAAAGGTTAGAGGGTCTGAGGACCTGAGCTCAGACCCCAGCTTGGCCCAGCAGTGGCCTAACTGGACTGCCTGTGGTCATTTCAGTGTCTCACCAGCGTCTCCTCCAGGAATTGGGGTTCCCAGGTCCCTTTCTGCTTACAGTTCTGGTCTAGATTCTGCCCATGAGACAATGACATTTGGAAAGCAAAGCAGAGGAGAGGCCATTCTTTTCCAGAGACAACTGCAGACAGAGCCAGGTTGGGAGGTTTGCAGGTGCCTCCAGGCCAGTGCCTGCTCTCACTTGCTCACAGCTCCAGGCTGT